TTGCATATATGCACCTGGCCATTATGTCAATTCAGACAATTTTGTCTATATCAACCTGACCATTATGTCAATTCAGACAATTTTGCATATATCCACCTGACCATTATGTCAATTCAGACAATTTTGCATATATCCACCTGGCCATTATGTCAATTCAGACGATTTTGCATATATCCACCTGGCCATTATGTCAATTCAGATGATTTTGCATATATCAACCTGGCCATTATGTCAATTGAGATTATTTTGCCTATATCAACCTGGCCATTATGTCAATTGAAATGGTTTTGCCTATATCAACCTGGCCATTATGTCAATTCAGATGGTTTTGCTTATATCAACCTGGCCATTATGTCAATTCAGATGGTTTTGCCTATATCAACCTGGCTATTATGTCAATTCAGACAATTTTGCCTATATCAACCTGACCATTATGTCAATTGAGACGATTTTGCATATATCAACCTGACCATTATGTCAATTGAGACGATTTTGCATATATCAACCTGACCATTATGTCAATTGAGACGATTTTGCATATATCAACCTGGCCACTATGTCAATTCAGACAATTTTGCATATATCAACCTGACCATTATGTCAATTGAGACATATGTAGTGTTTCTGAATCTGATATATTGTACTTATCAATGAAGTCTTGTATATTTGTTTGCCAATGTGAAGGACTGTAAGTAAAAATATTTGTTGATAACCAACATAGATTGGGTGAGGTATTTATTTGAAATTTTACAACTTTATACAAAACCTTTGAATACCATAGTTCTGGCTACAATTTTTTTTTTTTTGAGCAATGGTTTGATCAAAATCGAAGAAAAATCTGTCAAAAAGCTGTCAAGTTGAGTGCTAGGCATTCAAAGAATTGAAAATACATGTATGCCTGCATGTGTGGATGTGTTATAGAGTCTATAAAAAAAGGGTTGTAGTTGTAGTTTAAGCATATTTGTTGCAAATATTTGGTAAAAGTTATTATAACAAATTGTGACTACTAGTATCTATATGCTGGCCATTAAAAGCAATGTCATCAGAATATTATCCAGATTATTATTAGTATTCCCATGTATTCATTTAAGGTGAATATTCAAAAATGCTACAAAAATATAAAGACTGTGTAGTTCAGGTACTTGATTATACATTGATAAAGTGAAGATTGCTATGCAATTAGACACACTAAACATATTTTTTATCTGTATAGTCATATAGCAACCTGTATCTAAAACAACACAATGTACACACAATGCTTGGTACTTTGAACCTTTAGTTAATGTTTAATCGTTGTATCAGAGCTGTCCAATTGTAACGCTTTGATGAGTCTACTGGTTAGTTACTTATTTCAAAAGTTGCTCATTAAAAATAGCGTTCTTTGGTCAGTCACACCCTGCCTCGCTGTGCACGACAAGATACTTGGATTCCTCATATTCACAGATTACAAAGGTAAGACTCAAGAAATCAACACTGTTATTAATTTTCACTTGTTACGCATCAATCAGCTGTTCATTTCACTGTTTTTATTCTGGTTTACCTATTACAGAAGTGTGTGCAGCCAAGTTTAATCTCCTTCCGTTTACTACCATTGTAAATTTGTGACTGTCTTTGATATTTTGATACATACTTGTAAGTACTTCTCATTTATTAAAAGTAATTACAAATTTAAGGATATTTAAAATAATTATTATGCATAATAGTGTAGACAGTTATTAGACAACCGTGGTATGTGTCCTTAATCTTAATGTCATACATACTTACTAGTTTTATGAGATTTTGTGTCGTCTTGACAACATACCAGAAACAAATAAAGAAAATACTGTAATGCATCTTTACATGAGATATACAAGAGCTTTACAAATCATGTGTTTATCTAAATAATATGATACAGTAAATTGTCCTGTCGAGTGAATATTTCATTTATGAGTACACTTCGCTTTTCGAATATGCCGAGTAAATCTGCAAAAAAATACCTCCTTCTCTCTGTGTGTTATGTAATTTGATCAACTTAATAAGTTTTTTGATTTTCCAATTCTGTGCTCATGGGATTTATTGTTACTTTGAACACATAGAAGTACAAGAGAAAAATTCAACATTGTATAATTACATGTAATTTCCAGTAAATGTTCATGTGCCAGTTTTTATAATAATCAGACTGTGACATTATGGTCTCTTAGGGTAACATCTACAGTGATTACCATGTGAGTTTTGTATAAATCTGAGCTGCAG